TTTATAATCAGATTTTTGTTTGGTTAAAAAAATATAATAATTTTGTCTTTTAATAACAATAATCATCTAAAAATTTGCCTTCTTAACATCCATCTTACCTTTGTGTGTTATAATAAATTTTTGTATTTGGAGTCTATGTGGAGATTTGAAAGTAAATGGCGTTGAAAGCATGGCTTATAATGAAGTTTAAAACTTTGGCAGCATCCTGAAGCAATGCACAATCCTGATGATTTTTTCCCTTCTGAAATGGCCTCTGGATTAAGAAGTACAGTCAAAAGTCGTTAATCCGGACCTCAAAGCTACAAACTTTCTGCGCATGCGTGAACGCATAATGCGTTCGCAAATGCGCGTAATACTTTTACACATGCGCATATGCGTGTGCGCATGATATCTTTTTAATTTTGATGGTTTCATACTCTCCATATCTAAAATATTATCAAACAAGAAAGCAAATATCAGAATCTTATTTACTGAATATATAATGGGAGGAAGACATGATTAAATTTTCAGATGGTTAGGGATACACAGCGTGCAGTAGTCAATACACAAAACTTTTACCTCTGGTAGCAACAATGTATATAATCCAACTAAGCATCAAGACAAACTGAGCTTGGATGGCAGATATGGGTACATCAGCTGCATACCAAAGTTCATTAATCATACTGGCTGGCAGCCCAGTCTCTCAGCAATCCTTGACCAGATGTTCTCAATGGATGAGAGACCTGGAAAATATGCTGGCCAAGGCAACAGTTGAACACCCTCCCAGAAAAGACCCGGCTGTCATGAAGAAGGTCAAGACAGCACAGATAACAAGTGGTCATGCATTATCTTGTTCAAAGATAGCATCACGCAGCATCAAAAATACGGCACAGACACGTGTTTTTTGAAGAAAAAACTGTTACTCTTCAGGTAAAAGAGTTACATTTATTCTGACATTTTATGATCAAACTTTAAAAAAATGCAAATTATAAAAATTAAAATTTTAATTTTAATTTCTATAATATTTTTTATGAAATAAATTTTTTAAAGGAATAGAAAAACGTGTTATATTAATATAGAATTTATTAGAAATCGATTATATTATTATTCAGGTTACTCAGGAATTATTATTCAGGTTTATTATGAATGTACTGCTTGAAAGGACATTTTCCACAGAAAGCTTCAAGTTTATCATCAATTGTTATGAACTCACCAATAGTGTAATATTTCTAGCAGTTATTCACAAAATCTTCAAAAAAAAAAAAAAAAAAAAAAAAAAAAAAAAAAAAAAAAAAAAAAAAAAAAATTTCTTATAGGTGCAAGTTTGTCTGAATCTTTCTTGACAATGAGAGTTCCTATGTCATCAAAAGGCAAACATCTTGATAAAAAAAGAAAACGTTTATAGGACTTAGTTTTGAGGAAAATTTCCAAGTCGGTTCCGTCTATTGCGCACAGATCCCACACATTTACATGAGATGACCTAATATACAAAAATATAAAAGACCTATAAATGCACGAATTTCAATTAGAGTTGTGTGACGAGCATCTATCTCTCTCTTTGAGAGCTTTCAGAAATAGATGCAATGTAAATATGTGTATAACTGACAACCTTCAGCAACATTTGTTCAAGCAGTAAAAGTTTCCACAATTCATTTGGAGTCTGCACATATTTTGTTTTACCAATGTTTCCAGGCAATTTAGCAATAATATTATGAGCAGGAGTTCTAACATCAACCTCAGGTCTCTTTTCCCCCCCTTTCTTTCCTATAATAAAGCTTTTACTGTCATTCTCATTTTCGTATTCAGAATGCATCTCGGTTTCTGAATCAGTATCATGAGAACTAAAAAATTCATTAGAACTTTCATCATCAGTTTCTTCAATGGAGTCTTCAGCAGTTGATTACATCTTCTAATAATTTTTACAAATGTAACATTTCTTCTTTATAGGATAAATTATGAGACTTGTTTGCAGCTTTCTGTGCTACCACAAATGAAGTACGTTACAGCAATGCGAATAGCCACGCTGCGTCTGAAAGACCCGATACGATCGAAACAAAACTTCGAGCAAATTTCCAGCGAAAAACTTTGGAAACATAAAGAGGATGGCCTTGGAGAATACTACACTGAACCACAACCACTTAAGAAAAATAGGGGCATTTTCAGAGAGGTTCCTTTTATTGGACGGGTCAATTGGCCCAGCGCACACGCTCGTGGATTAATACATCAGAAACGTATTAGCGGCAGGGAAATGAAAGGAGACTAGAATGTGTACCCAATGGCATTCTATACCAGCATGCCAGGTGCTAGGCCCATATCCACATGACGAATGAAACTGATAACAGTTATCCTCATCGATGTCTCCCTTCTATCTTGATGCCATATATTGAACTGGGATTTGTCTGAAAAGATGAAGTGCTGCCAATCTTATGACTAATGTTAGCATCATCACACAACTGAGACTCACCTGCTTCTGCTGCAGCATCAAGGGACACTGTGCTCCTAGTCTATAGTGCTGTAAATGCCATTGGACTGTCCATCTGGAATTTGTCATCCTGCCTACAAACTAAGTTCCTGACTTAGGGCATGTGGCATAGCTGTGCAATTCTGCACAGCTGAGATGATAATATTCTGTCTTCTCAGGCATTCAGTATAGTACTTCTGGAACCATCAATTCCACACTCGTTTGAATGAATCACAGGAACCCAACCAACAAGAGCAGCAATGTTATGGAGTATTAACGGCAATCATGATAAGCCAAGATCATGCTGCAATCAAATTTTGACACATGCTGGAGTTTCTCCATCTTAAATGAAGCACAACATGACTTTTACACAAATGATAAACATTTAAATGTGATTTCCAAATGAGAAATCCAGTTTCCTGTTTATACACAGTGTAAATGGCTTTACTCATACCTGCTTTGTGCACATGCACTGGAATGCTAATCATTTGCATATTCACCACATAATATATTTCACGCAAATTTGATGTTTGTTGTATACTGCCTTCATGGCAAGCAATGTAAACTGAGGTTGTTTACTGCCTTTACAGTTGTTCAAAGTAAAGCCAAATTGGTGAAATGTCCCATCATATCTTCTTTTCTTCGTCTCACACATTTCTTTCTAATTATTTATTCCTGCTTCAAGAAGCTTTGTAATACTGCCATCTGAGGCAATACATAACTCAAATCCAACCATTTATCTATAAGTAAAAAATGTTTTTATTTTAAAATAAAAATAACATCTCTCATAGTATTTATTCAATAAATACCAACCTCAGTCCAGTGAAACTGATAATTTACAGCTCCATTTGACTAGTATTATGATTTTATAACTATGCCATACAGAAAATGTAATACATTACATTAATGAAGGATTACAACTAATATTTCTTTAAATTTGTGGAACTCAAACATTTCGCTTTTCGACTCCATACCCTAAAAACAGTTGCAAGGAATTTTAAGAATTGTCATATGAAGCATTGTACATATTTTTTTATACTTTGTTAAATCTGAAGTAACTGATTTATCTGCAATGACCAACTCAATTACTAATTCATTAGATAAGTGTCTATGCTGCTGATGCTGAAGAATACAGAACTATTAATGAACTAGTAATAAGTCTTACTTTGATGTCTACACCTTCCCTAAAATATGAATCAGACCTTTTTGTTTTCACTGAGTTGAAAAGAAATAATTTTATATTCTCTGGTTTACAAGAATTGTTATACAGAAACAATAAATTTATTTTTCTTCAAATTAAGAAAGTGTAAAATTTTAAACACACTATTCTCAAAACAATGACTCTGCAAATTCATGCTTAGTGTGTTTAATTTATATAAAAAACTGCAAATTTTCTCTCACCGAAGATCTGCTAACAATAAAAAATATTAACACGTCAAGAATATTATATAATGTAGGAAATAAAAATTCACATTATCTTTTAGATATGCAGAAGTTTTCAAATTACTGCACAGTTTTGGCCAAGAAAACAGTACGTTGAGAATCCTTTAAATATATTTTAAAAAGAAAATGTAACTTTAACGGAATAATAAATTACTATTTATTTATACTAAGAATTAAAATACATACTTGAAAAATGGCATTTTATAAATCCATTTTCATCTCATAAAAGGCCACGGCAAATGAGCTACTAATGAGAGATGCCCTTGCTGAGGGGAAAACTGCTCTTTTGTCATAATAAATTGATTTAAATAAGAAGGTTGTTTATAAAAGAAGCAAAGTAAAAAATTCACTGTCAAAAAATAACTTCAAAAGTAACAGGTGTAACAGCCACATCTGGCTTAAGCCAAATATCAGGAAAAAAAATTCAACAATTTAAAGCTCTGTAGTAGATGTAGATGCACTGCAGCTTATGGTTAGTCATAATAACTACAAATAATTCTCAAACAAAGACACATAAATCATACAGGGTCGTCAAGCTACAATCAAAGCAAGGAGGCTTCAGCTGCAATGAATGGTTAAAAAGACCATAGTCAACTAGGTTCATTTTTATAGAAATTTCTGGAGCTACTTTCATACTGTACAATTTTAAGACAAACTTCACATCCTATATGACATAGTCTCAAATCTAGGACTCATTCAGTAAAAAATTCAACATGAAAAATGGAGAAGCTGATGTACATGTTAAGATTATCGACGTGAAATTTTTAAAAATCACATTAATCCCCCCACACACATTTGAGCCATTCAAATCGATTACATGGAAATTCTATCTACGTTTATGTGAAGACAAAAGAACAGCTGCAAAGCTAAAACAGAAAAAAAAAAAAAAAAAAAAAAAAAAAAAACCCTGCAAAGCTAGAACAGCTAAAAGCAACAGAGCTAGAGTTTAGGTTAAGGATGGACAAAACTGACAATAATTGATACTGCAACATGGCTTTTCCTAGGTAAGATGTATCTATTTAATTTGTTACCATAAATATGAATAAAATTCAGTATTTGGGTTGTAAAATTATTAGCAATCTGAGGGAACATTATTATGTATCAACTTTAATCTAACCTGAAGTAAGGCTTGGAGGATGTAGGAAAAGAGATTTCAAGCCTTTTTTAGTTGGAGTTGGATCTGTCTGCATAACAGCCAACGGATTATCTGGCATTAGACAAAACACATTGGAAAAAAGACAAGACAACAATTTATTTTCTTCAAGATGTGCAGCATACTCAGAGCGAATCTAAAATAAAAATATGAGAATCAAATTTTTTAATAAAATATATATATATATATGTTTCATAAGAAACTAGTAGTAAAGTTAAATCAAATTAAATAATTCACTTGCACCACTACTGCAAGGAATGAAATTTTATTTAACAAATACAATAACATTCTTTCCTTCATATAAAGCTAATTTAAATTTTAATTTATGAAAATTCAATTGTAAACAAATAAAAGATTAATTATTGCTGCGAACTAATTTGCAATATCATTCAAATTCAAAAAGCATATATAAATTAAGTGCAAGCATCTAAATATGAAAAAATATTATACAGTACAAAGTCCGAGATCCGGACTTGTTGGGACTTCGGCGATTCCAGATTTGGAATTTTTCCGGATATTATATCATAAGTTTAAAACTAGTAAGATGGCATGTAAAAATTATACAATTAAAAATATGAAATTCTGATTTATGAAATAATGAAGCATTAGGATCTAAAAGGTAACAAAATTTACAAAAGAAAAGCTTAATATTTATTTGTTTATTAAATTAAAAATTTCTTTCGATGGAAGTTGTTCAAGTTGCTTTTTTTGTACTAATATTTCCTCTTCAACTCTGTAGACACATATAATTTCTTATTCAATTACAAAGCTCTTTTTTTTTTTTTTTTAGTTCTGTAACTGCCCAGTCGAGAAATCTGACTAACTTGTCTATCGAATTTTTTTTGCTTTCAATAACCTCTCTGCCACTTTCTTTACTATCTGCGTAAACTTGAATGTTATGATTATGATTCACAATTCTATTTTATTCACGGAGTTGTAGAGCATCAATTTAATATCAAGAATATACTAGTATATCGAGAGTCAATATACCATTTTCACGTAAAGATTCAACTTGAAAGTAAGAACTTCCAGTTGAAATACAGAAATATTTAATGAAGAGCCTATTTACATTATTCAAAACACAAATTTTACATATAATATAAATTTCCCCATCATAGGGCCAAGATTAGTTTATCAAGAACAATTATTATAAGTAATTGTTGATTACCGCTATGCAGCCAAGAGAACAGATAATTTCAAGCATCAAACTCAAGCTAAACTAAAAGAGTTATTACATTCTTTCTCTGCCGCCAGTCACGTGACATAGTCAGCGACAGATGATAAATAATAAAAGAAAAATTGGCTCCATCGGAAGGAAAAAGAAATAATTTCAACACTATCAGTAGTAGTGTTTTCTAGATCTAGAACCATACTACAGATTTCACCGTCCATTAATTACTTGATGATTGGAGCATTGTCATCGCAACGAAAAACTGATGCTACATCATCTTCACTTATTACTGTTTCTCCACATTTCTTTAAAAAATTCATTAATTGAAAAATTTCACCTTTGGTTTGTGATATACGAAAACCTTCACATTCATCATCCTCACCATGAAATATGGTAGCTGGCCATAAACTATGCCAAGCACTTTTTAATGTACCTGAGGACACAGCATCTCACGATTCTGCAATGCTTCATAAAGCAGATGCTAAAATATTTCAAAAATTCTTGAATAGTCTTGCCATCATTCAAGAAATTTAACATTTCTTTTTTTTCTTTTTTAATTTTTATGATTTTATTTAAGATTTTAATTTTTTAATTTCCAAGATTTTAAAAATTCAACATTATATTTGTATTTCAGCATGTGCACTATTCCGATATCCATAAGCTTCATGATGGATGTACAGTTTGGAGAGAAAAATAATACAGATACATTATCTTTCACTAAAATTTTAAGTGAAGTATGGCTATACAGTTATCTACAATCAGGACAATTTTTGCCTCCTCAGGTCAACCAACCATATTCCACCGAGCATCGAGTATGAAATAAGTTTCAAATCAATCATTCATTAACACGTGCGTCATCCATGTTGTTTTATTGCACGTTACAAAAAAAGGGCAAAATATTTACTCCTTTAAATGCTTGAGGTCACGTATTTTTTCTGATTACAAAACGTTTACACTTGTGTATTCCTGCAGGCAGCATTTGCGCATGCTAAAATTGTTAGTCTGGCTTTGGAATCTTTGCCACTAGTTGGGGCTTTTTCTGTAGAGGTTGCCAAGGTGTTTTGTGGTGCATATTGATATACAAGACCAGTTTCATTAGCATTGTAAATTTGCTATAGAGATAACTTTTCACTATTAATAAATTTATTTAAAAATAGTTCAGCAGCTTCAGTATCAACTGAAGCTTTTTCCCCTGAAAATTTTAATTGCCTTATACCATGGTGATTTTTTAATTTGGTTAACCAACCTGTCAAATACGTGCACTCAGTTTTTAAGTTCATTTCTTAGTGAAATATTTTAGTTTAAGCTGTTAGCATTCGACCCGTCAATGGCATACCCTTGCTTGACCCATTCAGTGATCACTTTATCATGATCTTCACTTTTAGCATATTGAATAATTTTTCTGTTATTCATTGGTAGTGGGGTGTCAGAATCCACAAAAAAAAAAAAAAAAAAAAAAAAAAAAAAAGAGCTAAAAGTTCCTTTTTTTGTTTTCGTATGTCATATACAGTTCCAATGCCATACTCCTGCCCAATTTTCAGATGGATATACTGTTATCCATTTTTTGCAGTAATTGCACTTTTTGTTTAATGGACATCCAAATATGCTTTCGATATGTAGATCCTGTTGCAGCTCGAAAATTAGAAATTCTTTTCAACATAATCTAAAGTTCAAACTTTAATTTTCACAAAATTCCTGTAATAAAAACAGCCTTCAAAAATTATTAAGCCGGATCAAATCAGAAAGTTAAAGAATAGCAAAACCTGCTATATTGAATGAAATTCCTTGGAAGTATAATTTTAATCTAGATTAACAGCATTCACTATACATTATTGGTTATGTATTGTGAGACTGGCAACAAAATCGAAGGCTGGTGCTAAATATCTTACCGCCTGATGCAGTCTCTGCGGGTTGCATTCTGCTACCAAGCACATTCCTTAAGATCTAAATTTTTACCGCCCCTAAATTTTGAATCTCAGTGCTTTCCCTAAATGGTAAAAATTGTTCATCCCTTAATTTTGTTGCTCAGTGTTTCTCTAAAATTCCAACAATTTTGTCTTCCCTAAATTCTGCCACCCGATGCATACGAGGCATCGGGTGGCAGAATTTGGCATTGGTTCTGGGTTTATATGAAAAACAAATCAGTTATTCTTAATTTAAATAGCAGTAAATGTAATCTTTTGGCCTATGAGTGTCATTAACGAAACCTATTTTAAATTTATGGAAAAAAATTTTGTTAAATTTTTTCTTGTCAACTTTTCTTAGTGCATTTAACTCAAATCTGTAATTATTGCCTAGCGTAATGTGAACATAAAAGTTTTCCACACCTTTTGTTATTAAATTATTAATATAAAAATTGTCTGGATATCGCTGCATAAGTCATTACTCAAGTTCTCATGTGTTTATAAACATGTGGTGATGAAAGCAAAATATAATAAATAATGACTTGTCAGGTTGGCATCAGGAATATAAAATATTAGTAGGTGGTAGAATGTTTTAGTTTGAGATATATGCGAAGCAAATATGCAGCCAAAATTATTGATCACACAAATTTATGCAAACTTATTGTTTCTTCAGTAATGATGTATTTTAGTGCGAGAGTGAAATTAAGAATCAGGACTCTCCACATGTTTTATTATGTGGAAAAAAACTAAATGCGCATGCGTGAAGCATACACACACACACACACAAAAAAAAAAGGGGGGGGGGATTGTTCGTGGTTTCGAGACCCAGATTTCAGATCATTCCAGATATTGGACGTCCGAATCTCGGACTCTGTACTGTATAATCCAAAAATTAATCCTAAAAATTTTAAAGAACCTTTTTAAGACTAAATTAATTTGCATAAAGTGAATAATTGTTGAGCAGCCACGAGACAGATCTTTTCAAGTTGCCTCCAAATTTAACTCTTCAATTACTCAATGTGTTTCGTCATCCATATAGGAATTATACAAAACCAAAAGTAGTGAATTGCTTAAATGAGAAATTTAACTGTAAAAGAATTTCGAGAAATTTAGAATGATGGGAGAATAGTGTAGCATTTGCTAAACAATGTGAGGATGAGTAGTTTGTTGTTTATAACTGTTTAAATAGAAAGCGCTTATTCTAACTAGTGTTAAGCTGCTACCTATGTTATCTATGGTAAAAACATAGCTGCAAACTCTAAAGTAATGTAAAATGTATGTTCTGCGTGGGAAAAGAAATGTTTCTAACTGCAATAGGATTGTAGAAATGTAAGTAATGAGTGGAAAATGATGTTAATGTTTCCAAATATTGAATTAAAGTTCGAAAAGACTAAAAAAATTGAAAGAAAAATAGATTTTTTTTTGGATAATTTTTTTTGGATAAAGTTGAATTTAACTAATTTTATTACAACTAAAGTTCAATTAATGTTAAACCAAAACTTTAACTAAATACTAGCTAAAGGTAAGGACAATTAGAAAAAGATAAAAAGCTTCACTCAATTCAGGCTATAATTTAAACTTAGAAAAGACCGATCATTAATAAAAGGAAAGAATCCCTTATTGATTAATAGAAATATATATATATATACAAGAATTAATCCATTAACTCTTCAATATCCCCCATTACCCTCCAGTTAAGGTTTAAGGTAGTGTTATAATACCATAAAGAGTAAAAAAATTAAATAGAAATTTGTCTGCCTTTTTAATATAGAAATTAATAAATTGTATAGGGACCTGGTTATTTGCCTGAACATTAATTAACTTTATTATTTCTTCTTTTAAATCTTCTATTTCAGTACTTGTATTTTTCCTTCTAATTATTTGGCTATAAAAAGTGTTACCTATTACTTTTTTAGAAATATTAAAGTTCCAATTTACTTTTGGTTTTGTATAATTCTTTACCCATGCCTATATGGATGATGAAACCCGAATTGAGTAACTGAAAAGTTAGGTTTGGAGGCAACTTCCCATTAAAAAGATCTGTCTCCTGCCTGCTTAACAATGATTCCCTTTATGCAAATTAAAAAATTCTTTAACCCCTTACTTCTTTAGCCGTCGCAAAATTTTGACAAAATTTATTCAAAAATCATCAATTTTTTTAATTAATGTTTGTAATGCTTATGAAATTTAAAATAAATTCATATAAAAACACTATATTTTTTGTGAAATTTTACAGTTTTTTTAAATATGTAAAATTTTGTATTAACTTACCTTCTTTTACTTTGTATTTGGCTTTCCTCTTACACCCAAGCTAGACAGAAAAGCTTCAATACAGGCCTTTAAGATTACAAGTAAATTTTGGAGAGAGGAAAATTACGTACGTTTAAATAATGCACTCTATTATCTGCAAATGGTAAGACTTTTATTCAACATCAATAATAGCTGTAATATTTTTTAAAAATTAATAATTTTTCTGGGTATAGTAAAGTTTGAAACATGGTATGAACAGTCCTACATTGCAATCTTTACAATAATACCTTGTTTCTCTCCTAGTTCGTTTTCCATTTGCATTCTTCTTTGATGAACACACTTTACATTCTCTGTAAGGGTTTTCTTTTTTTTTCTGTAGGTGATATAGGTTCTAAAAAATGTCGTTCAAATAAATGATTTGATGGCGTTTCCCTCGATGGACATCTTGAAAAACTGATAAAAGTAAGGTATTTGGCAATTATTTCATCGATTAAATCCAGTCTAAACTTTAAATGTGACTTTTTTCCACCTACTTTTTTATAAACTTGAAAAGTGTTGAAAACGGCTTGGTCTAAAAGGTGAAAGAATATTTTTTTATAATACTTTTCCCACCGTTTCTTGCTACTTGATAACTAGAAAGATACTGATCTACAAGATCCACATTTCCCATTGTTTTATTGTAGTCAATTACTACCTTTGGTTTTGTTTTCAATTTTTTACTTTGGGTCATTACTTCGACAGTTTCAGAATCATGAAAAGATGATAACATTGTTACTTCCTTTTTGTCTTTCCATTTGAGAGCAAGGATTTTGTCTAAATGATAGAATTTCGGCAGTTTTTAATTTTTTATTTTTCAATACTAAAGGTAAATCCTTTTTATTTTGTCTAACAGTTCCAACCACATCTGTTTGATAAATAAAAAGGATATCACATAATTCTGGTGAAGTATAATAATTATCTAAGGTGATGCAGTAGCTTTGTTTCAATAATGGCATCATCAGAGTCATAACAACTTGTGAAGGTAACGAGAGAGATTGGAATTTAGGATGAAACAAAGTACCTTTCCCGGTATATATGATAAATAACCATATATAACCAGAACTAGATTCACATAGCATGTATGTTTTGATACCAAATTTTGCTTTTTTCAAGGGTATGTATTGGCGCCAGGATAAACGTCCTTTGTACAACATCAGCGTTTCATCTGTGGTAATACCTCTTTCCGGAGTAATTGTTTTTTGATATACTTTATTCAGATGCTCACAGATAGGTCAAATTTTGTAGAGTTTCGGGTTAGGATGATTTTCTGGATCATAAGAATCATTGTTCACAAAATGAAAGTATTTTTTTATTTCACAGTATCGATTATATGACATTATCTTACGGAAAAAAGGAGTTTCTACTGACGTTTTTTTAGTCGAATACATGTTTTTTTACTATATCTTGTAAAACTGAAAGTGCAAGGAACAAATGGATTTCATGTGCTGATACTGGTTTCCATTCTCTTCAGCCTTTCAGTTTTCTTTTCCCAACAACATTACCTGATTGCTCAGCATAACGATTAGTATCTTTTACAATTACATCCACCATTTCATCATTTATAAAATGTTCATAATATTGCAAAATGCCTGAACTGGCTTGAAATGAAATATTCACTTCAGGCAACAATTTGAACTGAAAATGTGGAGGACAAATATCTGGGACATTCGACATAATTTGGTTACATTGGCACCCTGGTAAAAGTTGCGCGGAATCATTACTATCTTCAGAATAAAAAGCATCTGAAAAAAAGCTGCCTTCTGAGTCACTTCCCGATTCTTCAAGACTTAAATCCTCTTGTTCACTTGAACTACTCATTTTACAAATATTAAACACGAAAAAGCGATGAGCACTGAAACTGCATCCTTTCAAAATATGTTCTAACGGAAAAAATATTCTGAATCTACATATTACTGTTATCTAATCAAATTACAAGTATTGTGCTGCCATCTGTGAGCTTTCTGTGTAAATAGAATTGATACGGGCGTGACAAAATTTATTCGTATAGGTTGCCCATAAGAGACACGGGCACGATGAGTAAGGGGTTAAAATTGTTAGGATTAAATAATATTTTTTCATATTTAGATGCTTGCACTTAAATTTACATAAGCTTTCTGAATTTGAATGATATTGCAAATTAGTTTGCAGCCATAATTAATCTTTTATTTGTTTACAATTGAATTTTCATAATTTAAAATTTAAATTAGCTTTATATGAATTAAGGAATGTTATTGTATTCATTAACTACATATATATACATATAAAATTACAAAACAATTTTTTTAAAAAAAACATAATATAATCATGCCTAGTATTTTTGCACATAAAGCTGCTGAAAAATTATCAGTAAAGACAAAGTAAGAATTTCAATAAAGAAGTACATAAAGTACTTTCAATAAGTAAGTCAGAATTTAAATTTTTGGTTTTTTGAAAAATTGGTTCTAAATTTCTTACTTTATATATATTTAGATTTCCTGAAAATTATTAGCAAAGAAAATAAAGGAAAAAACTGAATATTTTGTATATATACATTTCCATACATGTACAAAATTATGTCAAAATCAAGAACCTGATACATTCAATTAATTATTAAATTGCTTCATTTTTCAATTAAACACAGTCTTATTAAAAATTAAGGTTCCTCTCCCACATGTACATGCAATTGAGTAGTTTTCATAGTCATCAACTCTTATACATTGATTTAAACATAAAAAAGCAAAAAAATTATAAGAAATGTATAAATGTGGAAGAAATATATATAGATATATGAAGAATTTTACTTAATATTCGTAATGCCAAATTCTACTATACTTTCCTACCTTTGTTATTATTTTTTTTTATTACAAAAGTGGTCAGGAGGCCCAGATATATATAAAAAAGTTTGAACGAAAGCTCTAATATTAAGCAGTTTCTATTTCCCTATCAGATATTCACAGTCTATAGGTTTACACTACATGATTTAAAAAAAAAAAAAAAAAAAAAAAAAAGGCTCAAAATAAATAAAATGAAACAAGGATGAAAGAAAATATTTTAATCAATATGTTTAAAAAAATATATCAGACTTCTTCCATTCTTGATATTTAAGAAACCTTACATTTTTCAGGCTAGATACAATACTTTGTAATTTGATCTTCTTCTCCCTTAGCTCTGTATATTCTCAAAGTCATCTGAAATAAAATCTTAAATTCTTTTTCTTCATTCTGATGATACACAGTGCATATTATAACTGAGTAAGTTATAGTATCTGTTGTTTTTCATCAAAACTAAACCAAGAGAAGATCTGGAAATCTTGTTATGTTATAATAAAGTGAACTGATCACAGAAATAAGATTTTCAGATACTTCCATTTTATTAGCGTTATGAAATATATTATTTTGAACAACTAACATTATGCTATCAGCTTACAGCTCTTCTAACTAAACTAACACATTTATTACTGGATGAAAACTGTCTAATTCCATATAACACACTTTTGAGCAATAAACCTTTCAAGTGAAGTCAACCAATTAAAGATGAATATAATCTTCAATGATGCCTATAAGCGGGTTGCTTCTTCCTTTGAGAATTCTAGTTATTATATCATGAAGCTGTTAAAAGATGCCTTCAATCTTATTTCTAATACTTTTACTTATTTCTTCTGATATATAACACAAGATACCTTCCAATTCACTATTATAACTAGTAATTTGAGAAATCAGACTTTCGTTAAAATAGTTAAAAACAGCTGTTATTTGAAAAATTTGATTTTTGTTGCAAATAATGATTATTTCAATCATACAGCTACGTATTTTAATATATTACTTTTTTAGATGTGACATACTTTGGAATACAAAAATATATTTGATTTTCAGGGCTCAATATAAAACAAATATTCTTCATGATTATTAAAGGATTCAAGCATAATAATAATATGGCCCACCAACGGCCAAGCGGATAGGACCACTCAAGATTGGAAGTTTGACATGGGTTTGATCCCAGGCTGACTGCATGGTTGTTTTTCACAGTTTGCTCCATGGATAACACATATGCAAACCAGTTTCCTTTTGAATGTCCTCCATATAAACTTGCCTTCTCTTAAGCAGATAGCCCTCAAGTGTTTGCTATACTCAAATAATTAAACAAAATCGAATTCAAATTTCTAATTAAGAAAATCACTTAATTAAGATGGTGAAATGAAAAAGAATACGAATGAAATCAAGCATACAGACCTGAGATGGAGATGAGGAAATGAATTCCAGTATTTCTAGCCATGCCAAGAGATATGCCATGGCAAAAGTGTACGAATCTGTATATGGTAAGACTGTACAACAATCACCAATTCTAATATCAGATAGCATACTCTGCACAACTTCATTTGTAAAATTCAGTAACTGAATAAGTGATGATAATCTAAAATATAAAAACTTATATTTTTATTCATGGGCATTAAAAAAATAAATATATTCTTATAAGTAAAATATACAAAAAATTACATAAATATAGTTTTATTTTAAATATTTTGGAAATGAGTATAAGATGCAAAACACTACAACTCAGATTTGGTTCTATCTTCTAATTAATTCTTGCTAAAATGACTATTTCAAAGAATAACTTAGTATTATTAATTTTTATTTTAAAAAACAATTTTGATGACAAAGGATTTTAGCCACAAAAGAATAGTTACAAAGATTTATGGCAGGATTTGTATATATATATATTGGTTGTTGATTTCATTCATGTGGATAGATCAAACAGCATGCTATATTAAAAATCAATTTAAAAAAATTTAATACCACTTGCCATTCAGTCCATTATAAAATATGATAAATAGAAAAAATTCTATTTTTAATTTTCTACTTCTCTTTCATGATATAATTTATAAAGAGCAAATGTGATTTATAGCAGGGCTGATCTTACTTATTCTTAATTAAATACTACATTCATATAACTAATAAAAACTTACAGAAAACACAAGAATTATAACTACAAGTAAAGCTACAGAAAGTTACCATATAATTTTTTAAAAATAGTTCAACTTTATTTTCACTAAAATAATCACTATGCTGATAAAATAATCTTACTTATTTGGTATTTTTGCCTCATATTCACTGTCTTCATCTTCCTCGGTTTTCTGTGCATTTGATATTAAAGTAGGCAGCACAGGCATAACCCTAGAAGATAACTTTATGTTAAATATACATTGCCAGTACTCTTAAAATAGGAAAATTTTAGTGAAACGATAAGCTAAGTGATTTCATGCTTGTAACCTCAGGGAATATTTGATTTAAAAAAATAAATAAATAAATAAAATAACTGTGAATCTGAAAGTCACATTTAAGTTTCAGTAATAACATATATATGCAGAGTATTTTTTACATATAAAATGCACTTTCTCCCTAAAAAAAATAGTGTCTCAAAATAATGGGCAGCTTAAGTGCTACTTAGATTGTGATCATCTTATTCCAGTTTTATATTGTTTGCATTAGCTAGTCAGAATTTCGAATGGAAAATGTATGTATAGCATACTTCTTAGCAAAATTGGAGTGTCAGTGTCTTATTGTGTCATCAAACATAATATATTATCTACATATAGCACAATGCCATCTGAAAGAATTTTCAGCAATATAATGAATTTTATATTCATTATATTGCTGAAAATTCTGATCACTGATTGCTGAAAATTAATTTTATATAATGAATATGAATGTAATCAGATATACGTAAAGTTAAGAAAAATAAAATAATCATTTGAACATGTGCTTAATTTTCTCATAAAATTAAGCATTTCTGACTATTATAACTTAATAGCAATACTTTTATGCCGTGCAATGCAAATATCTGCAGTATTCAGTTACACACTTCTGATTAGTTTTCTTTCTTGACTATATTTCAATCCATAATTTAAGCTTTAAATGATAATCCAAATTACTCTAATTATACGATAATCGTATAATTAGAGTAATGATTATAATTACATATGATTATACGATATAAAATATTTCATTATTAAATGATACATACATATTTCACAATATTTAAATAGACTCAATTTTTGTAGAAAATTAAAAAAGGCACTTATGTATTAACGCAAACACCCTGGTACAATATGGTGATTTTTTACAGATGAAAAGGTAAAAAGTTACTTATTGGGTGTAAGTTGGTGATTAACACTCCCCCCACCCCCCCAAAAGATTCCTAAACTACTGATATTTACCATAAGTTGGTAAACATTATCAAAATATAGAAAGAAAACATACTTTAGTAATTGAAAATACAAATTTGAATTAATAAATAAGGATTATGTGATATATTAACAAAATAAAACGTTTACATTCTCCTTAAAATCTTTTTAGTCCAAAGGGATTTCAGTCCCGAAGGACTATTGCTTTCGTTTTGGCATTTTGCGTCGGACTCGTGAACGTCGGTTCACTTTTCAAACTGTTGCCACAAAATGTTAGAGTCCTGCATTATATTTGAAGAAATTAAATAAATGAAAAATCTGCATAAATGATTGTCTATTTCTCGCATTGTGATAAAACAATGGCTATATGTTAATCCCCTTGAAATAACTGATGATCTAAATTAAAAAGAATGATAGTTACTTATAAAATTGGTTCCCTCTGATTCTTATTTGATCAAGAACTAATATCTTAATTAGAAAGAAACAGCTAACTATTTAATGTGATATTTCTGATTATTAGTATTCTATGCGGAAAAAAGGAAAAAAAAACAAAAAAAAAAAAAAAAAAAAAAAAAAAAAAAAATTAGTGATCTAAGTATTTTATTTATCCATGAATAAACTGAAATCCACAATAACTGCAAAATATTCAGATTTAGAGCTTTCAAAATAATGAATTAATGGTTCATAGCCTCAAAATCTAACAATTTTATATAACTCTCAAACTACTTAAGAATAACCTTCACTTTCATATCTGCTAATATTCTTATTTTTATAATACATAAAATGAATTCAATCTCAAAATTTGACAAAAAAGTAAGTATTGCATTTATAAGCTAATTTTATAAATCATGTATAATTCTTCAGAAGTAAACTAGATTATATGGAAATAAAATCAAAAAGAAATGTGTACTCACTTCATTAACATTACATGAGAAGCAAGCTGAAGCTCTCGAACATTAGATGCAAGACATGAAATAAGACAGTCTAAAGCATTAATATCTTCAATGTCTTTTCCTTGAAATTCAACGCTTTCTAAACTATGATCCAGAAGCACATCTGAAAGATATTTCTCTGGAATAAATTTCACAGCCTCCAATAATTTACTGACAACAGCTTTATATACTCTTGATGAGAGATTCATCTTCTTGATTACAACTATAAGGAAAATAAATATAAAATAAATGAATGCATTTATACATACAATATAGGCTTAAAAAGATGCATAATATTAAATCAGAAATAAATTTCATTATCATTCAGCTTTTAAATTTACTTTTATTACTTAATTTCAAACATACAAAAAAAATCATGGACAAGAGTATTTATTTTTACTTCTAATTTAATTACTGTAATATAAATGTCACTAAAAATATCTTGTTAGCATAAAAAATATTGTCAACTTGCTATCTGATGCTGATAAATACTATATTTATTGACATATTATCATCTAGATTTATAGCTTCATGTTCTGAAAATTTTTAAAATATTCACATATAATTTTTTCCTTCTATAATACATTCAGTAAGCAAGTTTCTTAAACTTTAAAATGGATATGCCCACATACTGATTGTTTTCATTTTACTAATAAAAACAATCTTCTGCTAAAGTTATGCTGAACCTTTTTGTTCTAATTGTTAAACTTCATGCCAGCCTGATAAAAACACCAACATACCACAGCAAAGCAAACACGAACTGACATTCAGTATACAATTTTACCCAATCAGCTGCATACACACCTTGTTTAATTATTTATATATGATTTGAGGTCTAACAATCAGCAAAGACAATAAGAGAATTAATTGGCAAGACTCATGTTACAAGGAAGTAGAAATGAAAAGCTTATTATAGATTGCAATGTGAATATTACTTTGTATTCTTATTGAAATGTGGGTTTCTTTCATTCTTACACTAACCGAGTCCTTTGAAAATGAAATTATTAACATAATTTTCACCTCTTGATTTTCAAATGATAAAATTACTAAAAAAAAAGGGGGTTGAATACGCCAGGAAATATGGTATATACGTGATTTTTAGAATGCTAAAAGGATTGGACGAAAAGTAATGGTAACGTGTAAATAGTTCCAAAAAGACTATTACCCTAATATGCTAAAATCACTCTACTAAACTACAACCACTTATAATCCCTCAGTATAAGTGCCTGCCACATCCAACTTCTGTCAAGTTACTGGAAGACAGTGCATGATTTACATATAAGCTACACAAGCTATAGCTTAGGCATATAAGCTACACAACTATAGCTTCCCAAAAATTAAAATGTATTAAAATATAGTATAACAGACGTAAAGGGCTCCATATCTCAAATAACTCAGGGCCTTATCAAGTCTAAATCCGGCTTTGATGATAACTATCATATATCGGCAAAACATACGAGATGTCATATATCATCAAAACATACACTTTTGTTGATATCCTGCAGCAACTACACCTAAGCATGAATTATTATTGTTGAAATGATTTTAGCAACTATTTGTTGAAATGAATTTACTATTCGTGAACTGAATTTAGCAACTGCCTAAAACATAATAAACACTATTGCAATAGATCCCTCATAATAGTCCTTCTATTCTGGAGAAGAGATTATAATTATAATGGACTAATTCATATTGGATAAATATGTTTGGCTTTTTCACAGACTAGTGGCGATGATGGCCATGGAAAGTACTCAAATATCAAATAAATGCTATCACTTTTTGAGTGCTGGATGCAAGTGATGTTTCAACTGATAAACTTATTATCTCATCACCTCTTTGTTACTCAAATTGCTACAATACTGCTTTAGAAATCTTGTATTGAAAGTTTGAAAACAAACCTGCAACATGAAGAATAAAAAAGATGAATTCTTGATATATATTTTCATTTTCAGCATGCTTCCATATGTCTGAAGTCAGCTCCAAGCCAGTTGCAGGACTCTTCTCTTTATCCATAAATATATATGATGATATTACAATAAATACAGAACTTAAATGTTGCAAGAATAGTAGATCCATAGGCTTTTCATATTTCCAATCTTTAGCACCCTATGGAAAAAAAAAGGAAAACCTTTAAATTGTCTAAAATTATTTACTAATAATGGAAATTCTCTACATGTGGCATACAGAAGGGGAAGGGCACCAAACATTAAATTATATTAAAAAAATTAAAATAACCAAACATCATAATCTATTTAATATAGTCATGCTTCTAAACTTAAAATCAATATAATATGGAATTTTTTCCAACATCATTAAATTGGTGAAATTCTGCTAATATAGGAAACAAAATATTAAACTTAACATTTTAGATTTGACTACAGCATAGAGTTGTGTATCTTGTTGAAAATTTGTTTTATCCATTTCATCACTTTTAGTAAATAATATATAGCATTAAATACTCTTTATCATGTTCTAAGTTACACATTTCGCATTTTTAAGTTGTACAAAGTTATGACACCATAAATTTGCTCAATTACATAAAAGATTTCTTTAAAGCAATTCTTAAAATCTGAAAAAATTCACTTCAGTTTTAAACTTGCTATGCTAATATTCAAAAATAGTTTGAAGTTTTATTACCAAAGCAATTTCCGAAATTCCCATAAAATAATTCTACAAATGTTTCTTAAATAAATTAACTTTGGATATTGTGCAAATTTTAAATTTCATTTGTTTATTTTAAAATCAGAGTACTATTTTCAAAGCAATTCTGAATATGCCAAATTTCTGAAACGTTTTTGTTTTTAACGTGGAATTTTCACAACTGAGAACGATAAAATTAAAGCTTTTTTATTACAAAGAATTTGTTGCTTTTAGAATAGCAATGATCTCTTACTTATAATTTGTTATGCATTATATGTGATTTGGTAGGTTATTAAATTTTCATCTAACAGCGTTAAGTACATGAGCCCAATACATCAATAAAAATCACCAGCCAAGTCTTTAAACATTAATTATCATTACCATATGAATAATGAACCTTTACCAATATTACAATATGATATGCTGTCAGTGGTAAAATATTAAAATATACAGGCACTCTAATGCTAGGGATAAAACAATTACCTCAAAGGCTCCACAAAACATGGCAGCCAAGTACAGATCAGAAATGGGCAAAAGCCAGCCTGCAACTCCTTTTAAATGTTTAATCCAGCCTCTTATGAATGATATTTTTATCTCTTTCCCATCCAATTTTGTTGAACTACCAATATCAGAAGCATGAATGTGCATCTTCTGTTGCACTGTATCTGAGCATATATCGACATATTTATGTGAAAGAATTTTTTCATTACTAAGGCACATGAAAAATAAATATTGATCACAATTTATTGATGAAAATTTATATTTAGCATTAAGGATTACAACAAATAAGATGGAACTTAATTTGGATGAAATAATCACAAACGAACACTCAAGATTTCTCAAACGAACACTCAGATAAATGTATATAAATTAACAATTGCTTTTCGAACAATGTTTGCAATAAAAATAAAAATGTTTGCAAAGGCATAAATTTATAAAAAAAAAGTTAGATTAATCACCAATGCATTGTTTCTTTAGACTTCATATTCCTTGAAATTTATGAGCACATCTTACATTTCATTACTTGACCTAAATGTAGAGCCATTGTGACATCGTATTCACCTGTGGCTTATTTAAATATGAAATCCATAAAATGGTATTTTAAACTTTAATTAAAAAATGATACAGGCCAGATAACCTACCATTGTATCCTGGCAAAAAATAGGACACCACAAAAGATCATCACACGAGCATTATCATACCTTTCGGCAGCCCTTATTACTTATTTGTAATACGACATTTACCTTATTGTATTACAAAATAGACTCTCTAGGTCTATTGTGAAATATAAATACACAACCATGAAATATGAAGTATCATTAATTAAAGGTTACAAAGGAAATATTAAAATTTTAATCTGACATAATGTCATTGTCCTCCTGCACAAAATTAATTTCTCAAGATAAGTACTCATTTAAAAAATCCATTCATAGTGAAAAGTAATTCCCTAGGATTAAAACGAAAGAATGTTTAAAAATATGTTTTGAAAAGTTAATAAAAGTATATATGCACAAAAAGTTAGCCTTTCAAAGCATTCCATTTCAAATGAATACCTTAACTTATAAATGCAAATTACAACTTATATAACTGAAATAAATAGTTATATGATTGGAAAAGGAAATCTAATACTAAAAGAATTAATTAAAAATGAATAAAATGATAAATCTAACAGCAATTTATGATGAATTTAAAAGAGAAATGAATAAATTATTATACAACAGTTTTAACCCAACAAGTTCAAACATATTGAACTCATTATTGTTAACTTTGTCAAGTACTAATTTTTTTTTTTTTTTTTTGGAAAGTAACAAAACTGCATTCTGATTTCTTAACACTGTTCACAAAACAATTATAACTGTGAATTTACTTGTACAAAGAAAACATCCAACAAACATACACTAAACTATCATATCCAGTATAACAAACGCACTTTTACACAGTCCAATTATTTAGAAAACTGGATTTTTTCTCTCAGAACTTGAAAGCGACAGATATAAAGTATAAGGAAACCTTCCTGGCAAGCAATAAAGTTAAAAATCTGAGAAAGCTAGCAATAAGTCAAAAATGGATAGAAAAACTAATCATCTAAATGGCAACATTAAATTTTTGATTTTTAAAAAATGTGAAGGTATGAGGACCACAATTAAAAAAAATAACAAAAAGTAAATTTGGCTTGTATTTTGGAATAGTTATTCAACATTGCATTAAAAATATTTAAAATACATACTTTTAAAAGTGAAATTAGATGGTCAACAAAGAAATTTAAGTCTCCCATGTTTATAAGACTTGAGTCGCATTTTAAAATAGAAGACAAAATTGCTGTCATTTGCATTGAATGGAGAAATTTTTCATCCTCAACAAACTTCAAGCTAAAATAAAAAATTTTTAGGTTAAAAGAGTACACTGGGCAATTTCATTTTAACACATTATTGTATCTATAATTTTTCATGGATAACATGCAAATGTTTTTAAAGATAGTATTCTGAAAATAAATGTATCATTCTGATTTCTTAAATTAATATACATCATAATGTTTACAGTAAAATCTGCATCTTATTATCTAAGTTAAAATTACATGCACTAAAGAGTCATTATAAACTATTGCTATGGAAATAGCTGAAACAGTTTCGAATCAAGAATTATCAAATATACTAAAAATATAAGGATTCTTACTTCACTATCTTGTTAAATGTATCAACTAATAAACTTCGTGTTTCTACAGGAATAAATTCAACTCCCAGTAAACAACAACAAAGTTGTGAAATTTCACCTAAAATTCCTATTTTTTTTAAAAAAAGAAATAATATATTTAAACATTCATTGAAATTTATCATTTATATATTCTACATGCAGCAAATAGATTTTAAATGATGTTACACAAAGATCTGATAAGATTTTTACAGATATGCTCTCACAATTTCAGAAAGAATTTTTAAAATGGATCTTATAGTTTATTAACGTAGATATTCTTTTAGCTGATACAAATCAGTGCTGATAATAAACTATAATAAGGTAATATCTGATAATACACTACAGAGAAAAACTTTCTTGGAAGTTTCTTTTAAATTTCTTGATAGGGTTCGTAGCCACATTTTAGTTAAAAAAAAATAAGCACCTATAAGCACTTTTCAAGCACATTTTAAGGAAAAAATAAGCACCTGTCTAATTATATTATACACAACTGCATAACCTTAAAAGAAAAATCAGACTTGTAATTTAAAATATGAGCAATGCAATATTTATTAAGAAAATGAGCATTACCTCAACCACAGAAAACAATTAACTTTTTTTAATTTTAAATGACAGTTCAATTTACAGAATTAGTTTACAATGAGAGGGAAAAAACTATGCAGAACTAAACTATATTACAAGATTTAATGATGAAATTTCAGTTCAAAATATAGAAAATAAATAATAAGCCATATTAATTGTATCGTTTGGCACCTAATAATAAATGCAATTTATTTTTCCTCTCATATTAATATTTAAATAATTTAACTTAATTCAATCAAAATTCTGAACATTTTCTAAATTTTCATTGCATAACAGTTTTCCCTTAACATATATTCCAAGCAAAGTAATTTAAGTAAAAAAGAGGCACATTTCTGAAATCAGAAGACGGGTAATTGCTTCATGCAGTCTCTTTTAACAGTAAAAGCTTAACTAACCCGCATACTCGGAAATAGCCGAATATTCCGGATAGTAACTAAAAAAGAGATGTGGGGGAGATTGTAGCCGTTCTTTAGATTTCTCGGCTAAATAAATGACTTTGACATTTCGATATGTGCATCATATAAAAATAGATCAAGGGAACTGAGAAATATTCTGCTTAGAAAACACAGTAAAACTCTTTTAAGTGTTCATCAAAATCAATTATCTCTGCAAAATACCGCAAACGTTATTGCGCAATACGTGCGGCATAATTCTTCCGCATGTGATATTACGCAATCGGAATCAACAGCTGCCGGTATTCAGAGAATAAAGAACTAAATAAAGGAAACGAAAGAGACTTACTAATCTGGGGTGTTTCTGATTCTAATTTTCAACAGACTGCGTTAAATTTCCGGAATAGAATCAATCTTCGCTTGGGTTGGGTAGACGGCAAAAACTTTTAATAGTTCTATTCAATCCAGATTGGACAGTGACAAAAAAAAAAAAAGTCCGCTGCTTCAATATTAGAGATTTTGCGGAGAAAGGGGGAGAGAACCTCCCAACCTCCGTACTGTGTAATGTAAAAAAAATAAATAAATATTTTGACTATTCGATTACTTTCCTTTTATTTAAGCCATTCCGAATATTATTCCCTAGAAAGCTAATCTGTGTAAAAAACACACCCATTTTTGAAAATTTATCTATACTTCAGCAGTTACTGCAACTATATTATTATAAATATTCATGCATATGCTCATAATATAATATAAGCATAACAATCATAATAACACGAATATGAACTGACCACGCGGAACGAGAATGCGATCTACCACTTTCGTAATTCTTTGACTATAGAACGATGTGCACCTGTCTGTACTCTCGCGGGTACCTTAGGTTACGCTAACGCAGAGAAAGACGCGGAAAGCAATTTCCGGGAGTATGATTCATCATCTGACGTTGCATATAAAGAAGAAAAGTTGTTTATTTAGTTTCGGCTTTGGTACGGGAAAAAAATGCGCGTTCATTAAAAAAAAAAAAAAAAAGCACTAAAAGCAAAAAAATAAGCACTAAAAACAAAAAAATGAGGGCTTTAAAGAAAAAGTAAGCACCTATAAGGGCATTTATATTTTATTTCCAAATATAAGGACTTATAAGCACTTGTAAGGACCGCTACGAACCCTGCTTGAACAAATTATATATACAGTACAAAGTCCGAGATCCGGACGTCCAATATCCGGAATGATCTAAAATCCGGACCTCAAAGCCACAAACTTTTTTTGGGGGGAGGGGCATGCTTTACGCATGCACATTTGATTTTTCCTTTCATAATAAAACATGTGGAGATTTCCATTTAAAAATTCCAATTCTTAATTTCACTTATGCCCCAAAATAAAATACCTCATTATGAAGAAACAATAATGTAAGCATAAACTTGTGAGCTTAATAATTTGGCTACATAGCTGAGTATCTGCTTGACATTACATCTCAAACCAAAACATTCACCTACTAGTATTTTATATCCATGACGCAGACCTGGCGAGTCATTATTTACTATATTTTGCTTTCAATACATGAAAGCTTCAGTAATGACTCATGCAGTGACGTCTAAACATTTTTTTTTATATTAGTAATTGAATAACTAGAGTATGGCAACCTTTTATGCCAACATTACACTTGATGATGATTATAGATTTTTAAATGCTCTAAGAAATGTTGATGAGGAAAAATTTCTTTTCGCACACTAAAAATAGATTTTGTTAATGAACTCATAGGTGAAAAGATTACATTTAGTGCTATTTTAATTAAGAATAACTGATGTGTTATTCACATAAAACCAGAAGCAGTTGCAGGAGTCGGTATTCTCAACACAGCAATTACAGGAATTGAACAGTGGAACTTAGTAACCGAACAAGAAATTATGTCTGTTTATAGAATTAAAAAGAAAGTACACTCAAGAGCCAAAATATTATGACCACCTGCCAATAACGAGTTGGGCCACCTTTGGCACGCAACACAGCTTCAACCCGCCTTGGCATGGATGCCACAAGTCCTTGATAGATGGCCGGAGACAGATTGTACCAGATGTTGTAGCAACGGTCACGCAAATCTGAGATATTGCGAATTGGTGGTCTTTGACCTCTGAGCTACCGTCCCATGACATCCCAAATGTGTTCTATCGAATTGATATCCGGTGAGTTAGGCGGCCAGGACATTAACTGGAAATCAGCATCATGTTCCTGGAACCACTCCAACACAATTGTAGCCTTGTGACATGGGACGTTGTCCTGTTGGAACATTCCATTTCCAGCTGGAAAAACAGAGGCCATGTAAGGGTGCAACTGGTGCGCAATGATGTTCAGACACCCTGTAGCATTCATGATTTTCTCTACCACAACCACGAGTCCCAGAGACGCCCAAGAGAACGTCTCCCAGATCATAATACTGCCACCATCGGCCTGTGTATGACCTACTGTGCATTGAGGGAGCAACTGTTCGCCTGGAAGACGGTGTATCCTGACACGGCCATCGGCGTGGTGAATGACAAACCGTGATTTATCTGACCAGGCAACTCTCTTCCACTGATCCATGGACCAGTCGCGATGTTCCAGGGCCCAGCGCAGGCACAGTTGGTGATGATGCTTGGTCAGCAAAGGCACACGAGTGGGATGTTTGTTGCATAGCCCCATATCCAACAGTGTCCGCTGAACAGTGTGCTTCGATACTTTTCTACTTGGCCCTGCATTGTATTCGGCTGTCAGCTGAGCCACTGTCTGGCTCCGGTTTTGCTTCACCATGTGAGACAGTCTCCGACGACCTTTTACTTTGATAGCGTGTGGACGTCCAACACCATGTCGTCTACTGCTGGTTTCACCGTCATTCATCCACTTTTCATACGTACTAACATCTGTAGATAACGAACAACCCACGAGTCGTGCAGTTTCGAAAATACTTGTTCCGAGCCTTCGAGCCATTACAATCCCTCTATCAAAGTCGCTTAGATCCGCAGTCTTTCCCATCACACACAGAAGTAAGTGAAAAAATGATTCTTCAGACTCTCCAGCAGCAGTTAAATACCACTTCCATCTGATCACGTGCCTTCCACGTCATCCAGGGGCGTTCATCGCAAAATGTAGGGCTGGTCATAATGTTTTGGCTCTTGAGTGTATTAGCACAAAAAAACAAAACAACTTACATTGAAAGAAATGTCTAATAAATTAAACAAATAAATATTACGCTTTTTTTTTCGTAAAATTTGATACCTTTTAGATCATAAATGCTCTTTATTTCATAAATTACGATTTCATACTTTTAATTATACAGTCAAAAGTCGTTAATCCAGACGCTCATAATCCGGAATGATTTATAATCCGGACCTAAAAAGTACAAACCTTTCTGCGCATGCGTCAACGCATAATGCGTTCACGCATGCACGTAATATTTTTATGCATGTGCGTAATTATTTTTACTCATGCGCGTAATACCTTTACGAATGCGCATAATATGTTTACACATGTGCGTTTAATGTATAACGGACAGTATAAGCTAAGCTAAAATTATCTAATTATCTATTTCAGTTAATGTTGCAGATTGCGTTGTTCCTTAATCTTCTAATTGGATCCGACTTTTTTTATTTTTTTTTTTAATTTATTTTTTTTTTTTTCAGACTGTTAGAGCAATTTTATAAAAGTAAGCTTGAACTTTTCGATTATGTCAAAAAGAATTTCTGATTCTGGAGCTACCAAAGGATCTACAAAGCGAAAGCATGTTCCGATGTCCATAAAACAAAAAGTGGAATTGCTATAAAAAATGGATAAAGGCATATCCTTTGATTCTCTAATCCGAATATATTCCGAAATATGTTTATCAATTTCACGCTGTTCTGCCGGGGGAAGGGGGGCGAGGCACGCAATGAATTGGAAGTTGATCTGTCAGCACTATCCTTATCTTCAAGACAGATGTTTTTATTTTATTTGGCTTATAATTCCTTACTAAATGTAGTATTTCATCTCAATTTACTCCGTCTTTGATATGATTTAAATCAAATTCCTCGTCATTATAATTAGCTTCCGATAGTGAAGAAAGTAACACAGGTTATTGAAAACAAAAAAATTTCGATTGACAAATTAG